GCAAGACTCTTTCCATTTCTCCCAGTCATCTCCCCTTGAGTAGCAGGGTTGGAAGTTAACAACCCATTTAGATGAATGGGGCAGTTAGCACATCTCTCAACAATTGTTTCATGTTCTTTGCAGGTTGAGGTAGAATGTCTTTTAATCAGTTAGGGTCTGTCTAAACAGGGAAATTATTCCAGAATAAGGTAGGATGTTGATTTAAAGTACTCTAGTTATTCCAGAATAACACTTCATGAGGGCACTCTTATTCTGGAGCCAGTGGGCCTGCATGACCATGGGGGGAGGTACAATTTGTATATTAAAGATGTAAACAGAATTTAGTCCCTCCTTTATTTTGTATCATTGGTAAAAGGAGTTTTTATGTAACTGCACTGAGGAAACTGAAGTACTGTTTTTAAATTATGCCTTGGTGTTGTCATAAATCCAGAGATGCTAAGGCCAAAAGGGACCGTTGTGATTATCTACTCTGACCCCTTGTATAGGAGAGACCATAGAACATCTCCAAAATAATTCCTAGAGTATATCTTTTAGAAAAAATATCCAATCTTGATTTAAAAATTGTCAGTGATGGAGATTTAAAACTGGAACAGATGCAGAGGAGGGCTACTAGGATCATCAGAGAAATGGAAAACCTACCAGAATGAGACTTAAGGATCTTGGCTTGTTCAGCCTAACAAAACAAAGGCTGAGGGGAGATACGATTGGTCTCTATAAATACATCAGAGGGATAAACAGCAGCAAGGGAGAGGAGTTATTTAAATTAAGACCCAATGTTAGCACAAGAACAAATGGATATAAACTAGCCACCGTAAGTTTAGGCTTGAAATTAGACAAAGGTTACTAACCGTCAGAGGAATGAAGAAGTGATGGAACAGCTGTCCAAGGGGAGCATTTGGGGAAGAAAAAACTAACTTGTTTCAGGACTGAGCTTGATAAGTTTATGGAGGGGATGGTATGATGAGATTTCCTACAATGGCATATGGCCCACCTATCCCTAAAGCCTGAGATGGGACGCTAGATGGGGAGGGCTCTGAGTTACTACAGACGATTCTTTCCCAGGTGTCTGGCTGATGGATCTTGCCCACATGTTTGGTGGGTCTAACTGATCACCATATTTGAAGGAATTTCCCCCCAGGTCCAACTGACAGAGGTCTGTGGGATTTTTTGCCTTCCACTGCAGCATGAGGCATGGGTCAGGTGCTGGCTTGAACTACAGTAAATGGTGGATTCTCTGTAACATTAAGTCTTTAAATCAGTATTTAAGGACTTCAGTAACTCAGCCAGAGCTTACTACAGGAATGCGTGAGTGAGATTCTGTGGCCTGTGATGTGCAGGTCAGACTAGATGATCATAATGGTACCTTCTGGCATGGGTGGAGATTGGGGGTAGCATGTAGGGGTGCCACCCTCCCAACTGTATACCATAGGTTTTCACACTGTGGGGCATGCCCCCCTAAAGGGGGTGAGAAGGAATGTTTAAAGGGATACGCCTTGTTGTGCATAGCTGGCCCATGCTGCCAGGCATTGCAGCTTGCCCCCCCTAAATGTTCCTCTGTGCCCCCATAGGGGAGCACACCCCACAGTGTGAAAACCTCTAGTATACGTTCAGGGGGGCAAGTGGCAAAGCCAGGCGGCTTGGGCCAGCCCCATGGGGGAAGAGGGAGGGGAGGCTTGGGCCAGACCCAGACAGGGGGGCTCAGGGAAGGAGCACCACTTCCATCCCTGACTCACTCATTAAGTACACTGTAATTTAAGTACCACTAACAATCAGTAAATCTGGAAGTTAGACCTATACCTATTGTTAATAGTATTAAGCCCCTTGCCCCAAATATAGACTTCTGACCTTAAAGTCTATGAGTCCATGAGAATTCACCACAATGCTTAGTAAATTGTTTCAGTGGTTAATGTCCCTCACAATTAAAAATTCATGCCTTATCTAAAGTCTGAATTTGTCTAGCTTCAACTTCCAGGCATTGTTATACCTTTCTCTGCTAGACTGAAGAGCCCATTATTAAATATTTATTCCTCATGTAGGTACCTACAGGCTGTAATCAAGTCTCCCCTTAACCTTTTCTTTGTTAAGCTCAATAGATTGAGCTCTAGTCTATCACCATAAGGCATTTTTTTAATCCTTTAATCATTCTTGTGGTTCTTCTCTGAACCCTCTCCAATTTATCAACCTCTGTCTTAAATTGTGGGCACCAGAACTAGACACAGTATTCCAACAGCGGTCCCACTAGTGCAGAATACTAAGGTGAAATGACCTCTTTGAGATGCCCTTATTTATGTATCTCAGGACTGTACTAGTTTTTCTGGCCATAGCATCACAGTGGGAGTTCACATTCAGCTGATTATCCACCACAACCCTCAAATCATTTTAGGAGTCACAGCTTCCCAGGGTACAGTCCCTCATCCTGTAAATATGGCCTACATTCTTTGTTCCCAGATAACTGAGTAAGCAGTATACACCTGAAGCAACTTTCAATATTTTTGGCATTAAATCTACATAGATCCCCTCCATTTGGGAAGCATTTATCACAGACGTTCCCGCTCCTTGTATTCAACTGTGAGGAATTACACCCATTAGTTGGAGTGGGTGGGAGAGGAGATGTTTTAGTGATATGGGCCTCTGCTTAATATCTACCTATAGGAATTTCCAGATGTGTGTAACCTATATCTTAAAAACAGAGAGCAAATCTTTGCTGCAGCAGATATGTTATAAACCCACAAGCACAATTTACTGTGAGATACTCCCTAAACAAAATAGGAGAGAAGATCAATAGGAGATAACTTTATTTACCATTTCTCAGTCAGTAAGGTACATAAGGTCCTTCCACACCACTAAAGTGCTATATACCTTCAGTGTCTATACTCAAGCACTAAAGACTGGTAGGAAAAGAAAAGCTACGTCCTTTAAGAATTCCAGGAGACTGTTTTGAGATGGGATAAGTGCCAAGGTGTCTGGCCTAACAAACTTGACAGGGACTCATTAAAGGCCCAGTCCTGTGAGAACGCTGTATATGATGCTTGTTTGTATTTGCAGGACTGAGCCCATAATGAGTGCCCATATTGTTGTTCATAGAGCTTTAAAATGAAGCTACTGCCCTCCTCTCTGTAATAACTGCAAAGCAAGGACAGAGCTGATCACCAGCAATGAAACTGCAGTTGAACACACACCTATTACAAAGATGCATGGGTCTTCGGCAATTTATCGATGAGGACCTGGGATTGGGGACACCAGGGCATTAAATCAAATGACTGAATAGATTAGTTGATTGCAAAGAAATGCCTGTAATCAATAAGCAAGGAAAGGAAAGGAAAGCTATGCTAAAAGACACAGAATATAAACACACCATGCCTGTTAGGGAACAGTGTTTACAGTCTTTGAAACAAGGCACACAGTTTTGCTGGTCAATGTACATAGAGGCAAACAATGCCATATATGGAAAAGGAGGACTTGTGGCACCTTAGAGACTAACAAATTTATTCGAGCATAAGCTTTCTTGAGCAACAGCTCACTTCATCGGATGCATGATGAATTTGTTAGTCTCTAAGGTGCCACAAGTCCTCCTTTTCTTTTTGCGAATACAGACTAACAGGGCTGCTACTGGGAATGCTATAAATGGTTACTGATGCCTATTTAGCTGGAGCTGTGGTTTAAATAGTTAAAAGCCCAGTACGGGCATGGCCCAAACTGCAAGATTCAAAGATAGATTTCAGAGTAGCAGCCGTGTTAGTCTGTATCCGCAAAAAGAACAGGAGGACTTGTGGCGCCCTAGAGACTAACGCATTTATTTGAGCGTAAGCTTTCCTGAGCTACAGCCGATGAAGTGAGCTTCACGAAAGCTTGTGCTCAGATAAATGTGTTAGTCTCTAAGGTGCCACAAGTCCTCCTGTTCTTTTTAAGATTCAAAGAGGAATGCACATCCAGAGCGACCCCCCAGCTTCCCGGTCAAGAAGGGTCACCGTGTACTTTAATGGCAAAAGTACATTGCTCAACAATAGGGCAGCACCAATCCTCCAAGACCTGAGAACTATTTTATTCAGGGAGTCCCCTTCCAAAGGAAGGCAAAGGCATGTCATGTGAACCAAATGGACTAAGGAGAATCCCTAACTATTAATTACAACAAACAACAACAAAACAAACCAACCCATCACCTACCACCACACAAGCCACGTGTTCTGGTGGTTTTTGTGACGACTGCCTTCCCCCGCACTCCACCAAACAACCACCAGCTGATTACACTTTCGGGTTACCACCTTTATTTAGGAACGATTCAAGCCAGTGTCTTTCAAATGCCTGTCACGACAGGAGAGGGGGAAGTCCGGCGCATCATGATATAAAGAAAGGGACTCCATCAAATAATGATTGGCATCTTCCACCTGAGGATTGTCCAGCTTTCTAATGTTTTGTATACGGGCCCCTCTTTGTATCGGGCCAGCCCCCATGTGGGATTCCCTCCCCGGAAATCAGAGTGTCCCCTCTGAATTTCCGCCCCAGAGAACTTGCTTTCCAATCGGTTCTTGTATTAAGCGTGAAGCTGTTTTCGGCCCGACCCGCCGGTCAGATCGTTCAGTCACCACCCGAAGGGTTTTGTTTCCTCTAGTAACCCTCCCCCCCCCACCAGTTGCGTGTTAAACCCATTGAAACATTTTCTTCCGCAGCCCTTCCCGAGCGCCCCGTGGGGCGGGAGCGCAGAACACAGGGCAGCCTGGTTACCCGACACGTCTCTCCCTGTTTCTCTTGACTTGTCCGCGTCCAGGCGCCCCCAGCCCTCCTGCCCATCCCAGCGTCAGCAGCGTGGGTTGCTGAGAAGACCCCGGGGAATGAAGCTCCCAGGGGATGGGGGCGGGCGCCCCAAAGATTCGCACTTTTCCCCTCCTGAGTCCATCTCCGTCCTAAGGAAGCGACTATTATCTCCCCCCCCCCCCCCCCGCGTGCATCCTAAAGAGAGCGGCTGGCTCGGGAAGCCTTTGATCACCGGAGACCAACCCCCATCCACCCCCGGGGCGGCTGGCCTCTGCGCTCCCAGTATAAAGAGGAGCGGGGCGAGGCGGCCCCTCGGAAGGGGAACCCGAAGGCGCCAGTCTCTCCGGCGCAACCCGCACGCTGGGCGGAGCCCCATGGATCTCTACCCCACCCAGCATCCAGCCCACGGGGGGGGCCTGGCCCCGCCGGAGGGCCGCTTCCCCGGCAACTTCCCCACAGGTAGGTCCCAGCGCCGTGCGCGCCGCATCCCCGCTGCGCCCCAGCGCTAGCTCGGCCTAGGCGCGCGTGGCTGACTTGCGTTGTCTCTCCGCAGCCAGGAGCGAAGTGGCCGGAGGTGGCTGCCCTTCCCTGTCCCCGGATCTCAGCCCGCCCGCCCCGTTCCCCCCGGACGCGGCTGAGCTGGTGCCTTCCATCTCCCAGCGCAGGAAAAGGACCAACTTCACCACGGCTCAGCTGGAGACGCTGGAGCTGGTCTTCAGCGACACCATGTACCCCGATATCTACCTGCGGGAGAAGCTGGCGGCCATGACCCAGATCCCGGAGTCCAGGATCCAGGTGAGTGGGCGACTGGGGCGCTGGTGGCCAGGGATCCCCCGAACTGTCTGCCTCCAAACGCGCCAGCCGCTGCCTGCGCGCTCTTCCCTGCCTGCCTGCCTCCCTCCCTCTGCGGCTTGCCCTGCCGCACGGGGCTCGGCCCCTCGGCCTGGGTCCTCCGCCCTCCAGCTAAGGCTGGAACAAAATGGCTCGCTCACTCGCCATCCGGCCAAACCCTGCTGGGCTAACTAAGCCCTCCGATGACCAGCGCTTTGCAGCGGCCGGCACGCTTATTCTCTGGGCCTGCCCCTGCCAGCTCTCCGCCAGCGCCCACTCGGGTTCCTCACACTGCACGGTAACCCGGGTCCGCCGCCCCACGGCTAACAACCGATCTCTCCCCAGGTCTGGTTCCAGAACAGACGTGCCAAGTCCCGGCGGCAGCGAGGGAAACCTTGCAGCAGTCCGGGAGCCGCGGAGCCTTTCCCGGGCCACAAGGCTCCTGCCAAACATGGATATCCACCGGTGGGCATCCGGCAGCACCCCTCCCGCACAGAGCGGCACGGTTACTTCCAGGCCCCCGTGGGCCCTTCAGGGGCTGCCTGCGCTGCCCGGCCTCCTTTTCCCAGCAACCACGCAAGCACTAGCGTGAAGGCGCTGGAGGGTCATCCACCGCATTACGCGCTGTCGGGAGTAGCCCAGATCATTCAAATAAAAGAAGAAAACGCGAGTCCGTACCAGTGGCCCTCCAACCTGCCCTTCCAGCCTGGGCTCGGGGTGGACTTTGAGAGCGTCCCTCCGAATAGGACGGTCGGACCTGAAATGAATTTTCTAGTGCCCTCCCTGCCCCTTTCAGCTGGTGCGGGTAGACATGGCGGTATGGGGAAGCTGTGTGGTCCTCACTCCCAAACGCCTCAGACCACGTGTGGACAATATTCGCCCATCTCTGATGCAGAAGACACCAGCAGCTATTCGGAGTCGGGCTCCGAGTGGGAAGAGAGCACCCTAAGTACCTTCCGAGGAATCTGAAGGGACCATTCAAGATCCGCCGGGGGTAGGGGAAGGCAAAAGGAAACGTGTAAAAGTTAATTTTTAAGCAACTTTTTGTAACCATGGAGTTCTCGAAACGGCGAATTTCGGGTGTATCTTTTAGAGTGCTAGGAATAAGTCTCGTAAGTCACAGGCCCCTTATGAAAAGGGCATTTATTTGTAAGCTCAGGTGTCCGGCAAACAGAACTGCCAACCCACCACCTGGTGTAATTTTATCAGCCAGACAACCTCCACCTCATCAAAAATATCCTACCTAGGAAAGGGAGTCATAGCAAGAATTAAGTCCGTGTTAGTGACAGGGAAACAATTAGAAAGCAAGTTCTTAGTTTCCTTCTTTTTAAATAACTTGTATGTATAAACAACACTTGTTTTTTGTCTGTAGCCTAATAGACAAAGGGGAGCGACTATCGCCCAACTCCACACCTTGTTAACACAAAGCCACACCTTGTTAACACAAGAGGTCACTGGTGAAACTAACCAAGAGGGAAGCTGGAGGTTACCGTAATCCTAGAAATGGCATAATACTTTAAACCCCAATTCCCTCTCACCTCTCTTCCTAAAAGTTTCCTAGCAGCTATTGAATAACATGTTGCTTTCACTGAACCCTAAGAGTTTCCTAAAACTCCTTTTGCTGCCTGACAGGAGGGAGGGAGTCACACCCAGGATCACCGGTTTGTGTAATAGATGCATGGATGTACTGAGCCATTGAAAGCTTCTAAAATAAAGCGTCTTCGTAGATCGCTGCACTGTAATTTAATCACAAGGTTTTAGAGTTGCACTATTAAGAGCCATATAAGAATATGACTGCCTAGTTTGGTGTAAATATGACTACAGCTGTGTGTGGGCTAGGGTTAGTAAAGGCATAAACAGGGGTGGAGGGAGGGAAAGTACCATGTGCAATGTTCTCTTATTTGTAATTAAATGAAGCTTATCTTAAATGTGTAAAACTTTAGATTTTTGCATAGTTAAGAATACACCCAATATCACAAATGTTAGAGCGTACAGAAAACCCAGTATTTCTGGGCAGTTTGCCCCCTCCTACCCCCTTGAGACATACAAGTGTCATTTGAATACAGTGAAAGTGTGTATGGCAAAAATTACCATGATGGATACAAAACTCTCAAAACATCCTCTCGAGGATGAAATTAAGTGCAATAGTAAAACTTTAATGTTACCTATTTATTTTAAGTAAGGTGTGTGTGTCTTGTAAAACTGCCTTCAGATGAAAATACAGCTTGGCTTTTAAAATAAGAACAGACTATGATACTCAGTTGACCTAGCAAGGAAGATAAACTGGCTAGCTTTTTTAAAATTCTACTAGCTTATTTATTTTTGCATCTTCATTTAACCTTGTGTAAAAGAATTAGGAAACTCCTGGTTCTATGTTTTGGAAAACCTGTGACATTTCTTTTTGAGAAGAAAAATAAAACAATCATTTGTTATACTATCTTGCTTTCCCTTAATGTGCCATTTTGTAAATTCCTGAAAGCAGGGATCAACTCCTCCACTATGTTGCATTTATAGTGTAGAGCAGACCCACTCTAAAAGGGGAGAGGTACTAGAGTAGCCAATCTGCAGCTTCTGTTGCTAAATCAGGTCAAGAAACCTCAGCTTTGATAGGTTGCAGCTCAAGATTGAATTAAATAGCAGGTTTGAACAATAGGCAACAAAATGTGTTAATTTACCTCAGTCATAATTTGATTAGCATAAATGTTGCTGGGGGGTGGGGAAGGAGAGTAAATCCTAACTGCCCTTCTAGCAGTGCAAAAAAAACAAAACCAAACCAAAAGTTTTGAAACTTTGATTGAGCCAGCAGACTATGTAAATCTAAAGTGCCCTACCACCCCATGAATTAGCTTAGATGTTAACCAAAATGACACAAATACATCAATCTTTCTTCTTTCAGAGGAACAGCCGTGTTAGTCTGTATTCGCAAAAAGAAAAGGAGTACTTGTGGCACCTTAGAGACTAACCAATTTATTTGAGCATGAGCTTTCATGAGCTACAGCATCTGATGCATCTGATGAAGTGAGCTGTAGCTCACGAAAGCTCATGCTCAAATAAATTGGTTAGTCTCTAAGGTGCCACAAGTACTCCTTTTCTTTTTGCGAATCTTTCTTCTGTTAGCATCCTCTTAACAGGGCTAGATAGTAAACTCTCTTTGCAAGGCGCTCTACAAAATTCCTTTTCAGAAGGCCCTAACCTCTTGCAAATACTTACACATATTTAGCTAAGTTTTAAGCATCTGAATAGTCCCATTTATTCCAATAGTGCTATTCAGCTGCTTTCATGTGACTATATAATTTTCAGATTTAGTGTCTTGAAACCTAAACTGGGGCTCAACTAATATGGGGAAAATTCCCACAGGTGAAAAACCAGTGTAAACTGAACCTATGCTTATTCTGACTTTAAAATGTTAAACATTAGAATATCTTCAATAATTAAGGAAGATTTACCACAAGAGGTATGTAATAATAGCTAGCCAGGTCAACCAACTGTTCCTGTTACCTCAGATGAGGTGACTGGGAATTTTGTCACCTGTCTTTCCTCCAAACTGGCCTGGAGGAGCTTTTCAAAAGTGAAACAAAACTCCAGGATCCCATAACATTACATTCCCCACCCAAATCATATCTTGACCTAGGGCAAGGATGGCCAGACTTACTGGTCCTCCAAGCCACTTACACCAATCTTCAGAAGTTTGAGAGCTGGGACACACCTGTCAGGGCTTCAGCCCTGCAGGAGGTGCCTGACAGGGCTTGGGGTTTCAGCCCCACTGCTGCTGAAGCCCCATAACTCAGCAGGTGCACCCCATTGGGCTGAAACCCCAACCTCCCCCCACCCCCGCTGGGCAGAAGCCTCTACCCCACCACCCTGCTGCAAGGTAGAGGTCCTGAGCTCCCCTCCACCAGTCTAATAGGTGGAAAATGGAGAGGGGGGCTTCACTAGCTGCACTTTAATGATAAAAGGGCCGCATGTGACTTGAGAGCCAGTTTGGCCACCCCTGGCCTAGGGTGACTGTGGACAAGGTTCATTTTCCAGCTGGAGTAAGTGAGGAATAAAGGGCTAGATTCTCTCTTGCACTTTGTCCCCTTTGCTTTGCCACCACTCTTTTGGCACAAAGAGGCCTTGATGACCCTCTTGTGGGGGGACCCCTAATGACTCTGTTGCCAGCGTAGATAGCTCCTATGGCAATCCCATTCTTGGACCAAGGGGAGGTAGTATTTCTGTAGCATGCTACATTCAAACAAACCCTGGAGGGCTGATGACTCTTTGGGAACTATTGCTAGGTGGCATAGTTTAGAGGCTCCTGGGTTGCTCTAAACTACACTGAGGTTGGGGCTAGCATAGAACTAGACAAGGAATCAAGGAGTCACAACTGGCTCTTGGATGACTCCCTCCTCTGCTGTGACATGTGGTAGTCCTGCTAAAGAAAGAATGTGGGCCTACATTTTTAAGTGACTTGCTAAAGGCTACACATGCAGGTAGTGGCAGAGCTAGTAACACCTCCTGAGAAATCAGTTCTAAGACCCATAATTATCCACTAGACTGGTGCTGCTTGTACAACTACTTCAAAATTTTGTACCTAATTAGGTCAAATTAAAATAATAATGCTTACCTAACGCACTCTGAAATCTACAGATGGAAAACCCGTGTGTAAATACAGAGCATTATTAGAGATATTTGTTGAGGTGGTGACTAAAGACTTGTTGACAGAGGTAATTTGTCCTGGCTGTAGCCATTGATGGCCAACCAGCCAGCGTAGCTGTGCTATGTAAATGATTACAGATTCCATGGCCAAAGGGACATCTGTGATCATCAGCTCTTTCTGTATAACAGTCCATAGAACTTCCCTGGAATAATTCCTGTTTGAACCAGAGTATAACTTTTATAAAAACATTCAATCTTGATTTAAAAAAAATCACCAGTTGAGGCTACACAGGTACAGCTACTATAAACAGCAATTTACAATGGTACCACTTACCCCAGTTTCAAGCAGGGGTAAACCACCTGGGTAAAAATTGTGGCTTATTAACATCTACACTAATAGATATTTTTGCTGGCTGTTCATGGCTGGAAAGCAGTATGGACAAGGCCTGAGTTCCATAGTAACATGCTTTGTACAGTGTAGACTGAATGAGGCAGATCTCTTTAGGAGCCATTACTAGTTTGGGAAACAGAGCTAATTTAATTTAGTAATCTTATAACATATGCATTCCATCTATTTTATATGGTCTTCATTTACTTACCTAGCAGGAGAAAATGAAGGATGTCAAACAAATCAGTGGAAATTCCAAAATCAATTAACTTTGTTTAAAATACCAGTAACAATTGCTAAGTGACAATATTATAGTAACCTATCACATCATTTAGAAAGCCCAGGCACTTAAAAGTAATTAAATTGGTAAGTTAGGACATCATAAAACTTATACTTCCCACATGATAAGATTGGTGTGTGTTTTATTAAGTATAAAGAAATGGAAGATTTCTTACCCAAACATTTCTTTCTAGTAGTAATATCCCCCAGAATCTATAATGAATGGACTAAGCCTTTTTCCTGCAGAATTCTGAGCTTTTATTGTCAGAGGCTCCAGGAATAAAATCTGTCCCTCACTTCCTACCACCAGAAGAGTTCTTCCAAAGCTGCAGAGATACTCAAGCACAATATGATCATCATCACTAATGCACTTACCTTTACACAATTTCATCACAGCTTGGAAACCTAAAACACATTCTGGCAATCAAGACAACTGCTAGGGTGGATCAGATTGAGATGGAACTACCAGAAAGGAAATTGCTAGGTAAGGAATTTTCCATTCTACTATATAGCACATCCCATAGCAAGTGGAATGTAACAGTATATCACATAAGTGAGGAGGGAAGAAGTAAGGCAGAATTATTTTGTTTACATTAAGGTAGAATAAAAGATATAAATTCCTTCATAAGACACTTTTTAAAATTAAGCAATTATTTGGTAACCACCATATGCAGCACCTTTCTAGCAAAGGATGCCTCTGCAGAAGAAGAGAAACCTCCTTTCTAGAGTTCAATAAACGTATTGAATGATTTTGAGGCTATGAGGGCCTGGTGTTTTGGATGGAATGAGATCAACATGACCTATATGTATACAAAGAGGAGTTGTCAAGCATTTGAACCTGGAGCCTCTTGTACATAAAGTGAGATCAGACTTGTAGACCAAGCAAGCTACTTGGAAGTAACCAAGCTATTTGGTTTCCACCAAGCAGATCTTCTTTACCCATGACAAGTCTAATTCTTGGTCTTTAGATGGTCACTCCATGGTATAGTTCTTCTTGAAAGATATGAGGCTTTTAATCAGGGCTTGAATTAGGGGCTTGCAAAGGCTTGGTGTCCCAATACATTTTTGATGTGGCTATGTTGTGCTCCTGAATCTAGACTTTCTTGAAAAAAGACTCTAGCCTTCATGATTGAAGAGATATTTTTCCAAATGTGAACTAAATGTAAACTGAAGGAGTAATGCCTACCTAAGTTTGTCAGAGAGCCTGAAACAATAGCTCTAAGAGCTCTTTCACGTCATTTAATTTTAATTTCACTTAGGTGTTAACTCAGATGTCCAAAGATGACAATTTAAATGGGAACATTGCTATTTCCTTGCTGGTCAAAGCATGTCAGAAGAAGAGAAAAGTGGTCATGTGAAGAACTGCAGTACTGGGAAAGACAACTTTTTTGGCATCAGGAGTGGACTGCACTTGGTAGAGTACCACCACTTAGGGCTGGTCTGAATGCACTTTTTGTACTGATGTAACTATACTGGACTGCAACAATTAAATCAGTACAAAAACTGTGCATAGACTCTTTGATATACTTAAATCAGTTGAACCCCCTATTGTAGATGTAGTTATACCAGTATAAAAATATTTAAATTTCAGTACATTTACTGAAATAAGCTATATCAATAAGCACTTTTCTATTGCAATTTCCACATTAGAGGTTGCAACTATTTCACTTTCTAACCAATATAGTTAAATTCTGTAGATAAGCCTTACATTTACCCCACAGTCTGACCTGTGGTTCCAACAAGTCAGAGGGCAAAAGCAGGGGCCCAGGAAATAATCTGAGCATTACCAATGGATAGCCAATCCTGCAGAGCCCAGCAGTGCATCCAAGTCCCACCAAGGAGAAGTGAAGCAAGGGGATCCAGTAAAGCCCTGTAAAAGTACTTGTAAGGATAAGCTAAGCCCAGGAGACCAGCAGGTAATCTGAGTCACTCAGAGAGGAAGATGAGCCCAGCAGTGGCCACTTAATAATATTTTAAACATCTGCATGATCTAAGTGGCATTTCACTTTGAAATCTTAAGTGGACAGAACTCAGAAGAATACCACTCCCCCTTGGTCAAGTTTGATCCCTGTTGCTAATTAT